GATGTCTGTAACTGTAATTAAGTCCTACATTATCTGCCTATTCTGAAAACCAGTTAACGGTGCTTGTATTATTGTCTGCAGTCCTGGGCACTGGGAAGCCGAGCAGCATGCTGTTCCCTTTTCCCCACAGTCTCCCTGTGCTACTCAAAAACAGGTTAATATTTAAAAAGTCAGTGTTATGTTTATGGAGTAGAAACCCAGAAAATGAAGTTAAACAAGTTCATTTATTGTAACTACACAAAAATATAAAATACTTGGGAGCAAATTTAACAGAAGATATTCTTTATGAGAAATATTGGAATAGTGCTGAGAGAAATGAAAGAAGACCTAAGTAAATGGGGAGAGATGCCACATTGATGCATCAGAAGGCTCAGTGTATTAGACTCGGCTTTTCCCGTGTGGGTGTGGGTGTGGGTGTGGAGACTCAGTGTTGTCCTAGTCAGAACCCTCCTCCTACAACTCCGTAGAAAGAAGAAAGCAGCCCAGTTAAAAACAGAAAAATTGAACAGACATTTCATGAAAGAAGATACACAAATGGCCAATAAACCTACGTAAAGATGCGACGCTCAACTTCATTAGCCGTAGGAGATGCACATTAAAGTCAGGCTAGATGCCTGTGCCTTTACTAGGGTAGCTGAGGAGGTTAAAAAGGCCGACGGTACCAGGGTTGGCAAAAATGAGGCGCAGCTGGACTCTTCCTACACTGCTGGTAGCAATGCAAAGAAGTTAAACGTAAACCTACTGTAGCACCCAGCTCTCCTAGATATTTATCTGCCCAAGAGAATGAAGTGTTTCTGTGCAGTTGTCCATGTTTATACAGTCACCCAGCAGTAGTTAGATGTATAAACAAACGGAATCACCATACAGTGGAATGTTATTTAACAGAGCTACACAGTATGATTGTCATTAAGCTGAGAGAAACCTGAAACCAGAGAGCATAATGTGTGATTTCATTTATATAAATTGTAGAAAATGCATAAAGCAAATCATTGGTTCTCTGGAGCCAGGGGAACAGGGAAGGAGAGACCTTAAGGGGCCTGTGGGATTTTGAGGAGGGATGGAAGATTCTATGTCTTGATCGTGGTGGTAGATTTGTGCACATACACAAGTGTTACAATTCACCGAATTGTACACTGTAAATAGTGCAGTTCGTTCCATGTAATTATAACCTCAAAGTTGATAAATAAAATAGTGACCGACAAGTACATGATAAAAAATATGTATTTGGTAAATTAGCTTTATTGGTGTGGGCCAAGTGCACTTGCTAGTTCATATTTTCTTACCGTCCTATTCCGTGGAGATACAACAGTCCTTTTAGGATCAAGGAGCTCTGAATATGTTCAGCAAATAAAAGAGTTCATTGTTTCTTACGCTCTTTGTAGTAAGAAGGCGGAATCAGTTATTCTTGTTTTGTTCTGGAGCTTGCTTCCCTGGGCTCCTTCTCTACTTTCTTCCTTCTTCTCTTCCAAGCTCTTGTAAACTTACTACCCGGGATTCTCAAAGTTGAATTTGTGACTTGGGAAGTAAAAAAACCTACCTTTTGTTTCTGACCTCTCAGTAGGTGAATGTGTAAACAGCTTCATCAGACTTCTCTAGCCATTCACACTGCTCTCCTCTAAGTATACCTTTAGCTTTATAATTTTAGATATGGAATTATACCAAGTAAAAATAACAAAAGATCCTGATTATATAATTTTTAATATTAGGAAGAGTGAATGGAAAAAAATCTAACTTCCCCTTTATGAAACCTCACATAATGTTGTAATAATCATGAGCTGCAAAAGTTGTAGTGACCCCTGCCATTTAAGAAACATTGTGGCATCCTTAGTGACATCATTTTAACATCAATTGATAGATTTCCAGGTCACTTTCCCATGTATCACTGTAAATGTTCTCCTAATAAACAGTGTCATTGTTCTTGGTGCTGCTGTCAGCCTTTCTGCTACTTAGCTTAGTTCAAACTTGTTTTCCATTTTCATTCAGCCTTTTTTGATACATTGATCCACATACCTTACCCAGTTATACTTAAGGTTTTCCATAAGACTGAGAGACAGATTTAGGAAATGTGATTATCAGATGTGATGTTTAAGATCTGCCAAAGGTGAAAGAAAATAGCCAACTGTGGTCACCGAGTCTTTCTTCCTGGCTCTTCCTAGCAGGCAAGTTGGGTCTCAGAACGTGGGAAAGGAGGCTGACAAATTATTGTCTTTTATTTAAATTCCAACAGACTTTTTTTTTTTTTTTTTTTTTTAACACAGAGAATGGAAGGGAGGGAGAGAGAGGAGAAACACTGATGTGAGGAAAAAACATCAATTGGTTGCCTCCCACAGGCGCCCCGACCTGGGGCTGTGGATCAAACCTGCAACTGAGGTACATGCCTTTGAATGGGAATCGAACCTGAGACCCTACGGTGCGCAGGCTGACGCACTAACCACGGAGCCACACTGGCAAGGGTGATCCCCACAGATGTTTTGCTGTTAAGGTTCTTTCAGATTTGGTAATGGTGGCAAGAAAAACCATGTCTTTAAAGAAATTATTTCCTGTGCACATCTCCACTTAAATTTTTTGTGAAGACCCTGAAGGAAAGACAAAGGACTGAGGTGTCCACACATGACACTGCTGCGTCTTTGCTTCCACTTGAAAATAGAAGATAAGGTCCTCTAGTGTCCGAAGAGCACTTACACTCTGTACCTTGGGTGCATTGTGACTGGCACTGGTGTGGGGGATTTGAAGTGTAGGAGGGAGCCGGGAAGGAGGCCTGGTGAGAGGAATTTGCCTCTTCTAAGCCTTTGGAGACCCTGCCCTGTGACTGAGCAGCTGAGTCAGGCAGAAGGAATGGACAGGCTGCTTGCTGCGAGTGGGGTAGGCAGAAGCAGTGAGGAGAGAGGAGGGAAGTTCCAGTGGCTACTAGAAAGATGGACTCCGCCAGGCTGCTGATGGAGGGCACTGCTTTAATGGATAGGCCCAGACAGTTAGCTGCTGAGCCACTGCTGATGTTTAGGGCACTGGTCACTTATGCTCCCCCCGCCTCACCTCCATACCCCCACACTCCCTCGGCGAACAGGACTGTTTGGAAGTCATGGTTCTGTTTAGTTGAATATCACGGTTAAGTGAGAATTGACCAGAAAGTAGTTTTTGTCTGAAGACTTATAAATATATCTTCAGAAATGTTCACCCTCTGGCGTAGATGGATTATGAAGATCCTTGTTGCCTCCTTCACCCTGAGGCATCATTTTTAGATTGAGCATCTCTAGTTATGTCTTGAATATAGGGACTGTCCCTGTGGCGCCTACCCTTGCTGTGTGGCACAGATTGACACTCCAGGTCTCAATGAGGAAACGACAGCTGTCACTGTTCAGTGCAGATACAGGATGTTTGGATGGTAGTTGTCTTCCTTTAAATGAGTCTCAGTGTTAGGTAATTTTGTGTGCCCTCCTGCGTTGAGAACTGAAAGGACAGCGCAGTCCTGTGAGGCGTGAGGTAGATGAGTGCAGCTCTTCCATACTTGTGGATGTGACCCTCACACGCCCACGTTTTCTTTGGAGTTTCTGCTCTGAAGCATGTGGCCTGGCCTCATGATCTGAGAGTTACCTGAGGCTTTTGAAAGCTTTTTAAGTAAATTATCCTTCAAGTAACTTGTATTAAAATGTTATAAGGCCACAGCATCATTTTTCATTTTCTTCATGATTTTGAAAGACAAACATCAAACAGTCCCTGCATTAAAACTTAAATTGTGTATGTTGGGCAGAGAGCAGGTTATTTCCAAACTGAGGTTCAGGAAGCTTTAAAATGCCTGTTCATCCTTCATCAGCACTACTGGGTGAATCAGCAGTTTGCTAAGGGCAACAAACCTTTATTTTGAAATTTGACGATAGTATATATAGAAAAAATCGTGTAAAATAGGAATCTAAATTTGGTGTTAATCAGTTAATAGAGTTTTAGGTCCAGAAGGTTCCTTGGGGGTCATATCTTATTCTTTAGGTCTGAGAAATATTAGAAGGTGACTCTGATGTTAGAAGGACGGGTGCCAGTCTTACTTGATTTGGTCATTGCTTAGTTACACTGCTGGGTAGAAATGAGTTCCTGACCGCTTAGATGGTTTCAGAATTAGGAAAAATTATTCTCAGAAGAACTTCCTATGTGCCCCATGCCAGTGAGGCCAGGGGTGAGGATCCTCCTTCACACAAGTCAGCAAGATGGCTCTGCGTATAGTTGTGAGCTGTTGCTCTTCTGTGGCCATTGTCTTGCAGGTGTATTTCCAGCTCCCAGAGGGATGAGCTAGGGCCCCCTTTTCTCCCGTGTCTCTGGGGAAAGCTGTTGGGGGTGTTTCTCTGAGGGCTTATCTCAGTGGCACATCCATTGTGCCATGTTTGGAAGGAGACGTAGATGCTCTAGGTTTAGGATTTACTAAAAATACCAGGTCATTCATTGAGAAGCAAGTACCTGCATTGGACCAGGTACTTGGTTACATGCTTGAGGGCAGAAAACGAGCCAGGCAAGGTTTTGACATTTAAGCTGAGACCTAAAAGGTGAGGAGTTAGCCAGCTGAAGAGCAGCAGTCTAGGGAGTGGGTGTGGCAAAGGCCCTGAGGAGTCTGTGGGGCAGGAGGAAGGACAGTGAGGCTGGGGAAGAGCAAGAGAGGGAGACAAAGGCTTGAGAAACGCTGGGTTAGCAGGTAGGTAATCTGACCGTGCAGGTCTGGAGGACACGCTGAGGCTTTAAAATTGATCATAAGAAATATGGAAGAGATACCATAGGACTTCAGCAGGGGAGACTCACTGACTTTGATGTGGGGAATAAATTAGAGGGGTCAAGGGGGTTGAGGGGAGTGAAGCTTTTGTTATTGTCTTTAATAACAGCTTACATTTGTTATTTGTTTGCTGTGGGCTAGACAGTGAGCTAATCCCTTTACTCTTGTCTCAGGTAAACCTCCTGACAGCCCAGTGGGGTGCTGTTGTCCCTGTTTCACAAGTGAGAAACCAAGACCCTGGAGGATAAGCAGCTTGCCCCAGGCCATGTCAGTAAGTGGCAGAACTGGGGTTTGAACCCAGACAGTGAGGATTCTAGACACCCTGTGCTGGAAGCCACCTGGCTTGTGCTCTCAATGCAGGAGGTGATGGTCTGTTAGTGGTTCTTGAAATTGAGTGGATCACAACTGGAAATTTTATAGAACAGAAACTAGAGTACTTGGCACTAGTAAAGGTAAAATATTGATATGTGAAGCTTTGTTTCACTTTATTTTGTAAGACTCTTTGTTCTTTGTGCTTGTGCGAGCTGGTAAACCATTGCAGAGAGCAATGGTCATTGTGGGAGGTGTCAGGACATACCCAAGTCTCTGCTGGGAGAGGATGGGTCCAGGTGTGTGTGGGCTCAGTGCACACAGTAAGGGGCCTTCTGGGCTGTTTGATCACCTGGTTCTCTAGCTTCTCTCAGTGGCTGCTGATGGGATTGAGGTTGGCATGTCACCCACATCCGTATTTTACAGCAGATCTGTAAGCTGGCTCTGAACTGTGAGTGAGCTGCCCCCTCAAACTGCCTAAACGGGGGTTGAGCCAAGAATAAATTCTCTCTGGAGCTATGGTACGTGGTGAGCCACCTGGTGGCAGTGCCTGGCAGAGCCACCATGAGGGCATGGGGATGTTTGCTGCAGTCCCTGGAATCCAGAGGACCTTGAGGTCTAGTGTGAGGAACACAGCGCCCTCTTTCTGAAGGTCAGGCGCCACTCCTTGTTTCTGGCTAATCTCAGGCCTGGCTGTTAGGGATACCCAGCTCCCCATTACCCAGGTGAGACAGGATGTGGAGTAAGTGCTTTATTGGTCTTTTGACCTTGGTTAGGGTACTTCTCGGTGAGCCTCAGTTTCCTCATGTGTGAAGTTGGGTGACCGTGAGAGTAGGTGAGGTGTGCTGTCGCATCCAGCACTCAGGTCAGGGCCCAGCGCAGGGTGAGAGCATAGTGAGTATTTGCTGTTCGTTTTTGGTGTTTTGAGGACAATTTCTGGAGAGATGTAAACATGTTTGTGAACAAAGCCCATGGCAAGGAGCCAGCAGAGGGGTGGCCATGGTGGGAGAGGATGTTCAGAAAAGGTGTCAGACTCAGCTGGAGAGGGCACCGTGGAGGTGGTAGGATCCCAGTTACGATGGTCTGCTGGGAGAGACGTGCACTGAGGAGGAAGGTGGTGGCTGGAAGGCTACTGTGGACAGAGACGGGGACATGCAGAGGAATGGTGAGCAGTGCCCAGACCCTGGGGTTGCACACCACTGACTTAGGGTGACACCAGCTGGCATGCTCTTACGCTGCTCTTAGAGTTTGTCCTGGCCGTGCTGTGTTCAGAACAGTGAGATGTAAAAGTAAGGTTCGTATAGTTTTAGGAGTTTGCAAGGCAGATGCCAGCAAAGAGCAGGGAGGCTGGGACTTGGGTGCAGAGACACAGTGGGGCAGGGGGCAGCTGCCAAGTCCTGCTTGGCTGGGAGGGTGACCGTCTTAGAGAAGGTGGAGGGCGCTGTCTGTGGAACACACGCACAGGGATATGGTTTCCCTGAATGACGGTTCTTCCTTACTGTCCTAACACTAATTCCTCATGTTGTTGGCTGAAATGTTAAGACCAGTTGTCAAAGGGAATGTACTGTTTTGTATGGGCACACCCCAAAAGTCGAGGTAGTTCTAATATGTAATTTGGAGTTGCCCTGATTTTGTGTGGTCTGCTGAGAAGTTAAAGATAGGTCGTGACCCTTCATGTTCTGTTTACGTTGTGTAGAGTTTCATCACATTATTTGAGAGTTTATTTCATTCACTGCTCTGAGGAACGTACACTTCAGCTACAGCAAGCACTTTGAAAACAGACACAGTAGAGTATGTAGAGGAGTAGAGTGTGTGTAGGACAGTGACTGAGAACAGGAACATCTACTTAGTTGCTGAATGTTGGGGGACTTTCACATTTCAGGCAGTGAGTCAGTGTCCTAGGGGCAAAGGTGCATGTCACAGGAATGGTACCTGAGGAGCTTCTCAGCCTCCATCACATGATCACATGCCATGGGGGGGTGTGCACACACCCTGGAGTGCTCATCACGGGCGTGGGGTCTGGAAGGAAACACAAGAATGTCTCACCTCTCCCTTTCAGCTCTGTGGGCTTGAAAACATACATGAGAACACTGGTGCATGTTTGAAATGCACAGTAAACATGCATAGACTGGGACTGCCCTTCCTTTGCAAGTAGTGTACATATGATAAAAAATATTTGGAGGCTGCTATATGTTTGTTTATATAGTAAAAATATACATTGTCGATAACTTGTTTTAACATTTTGGGAAAACCGGGAGCTTCTGTGTGCGTGACCCATGTTCTTAGTGGTGGAGGAGCAGTGCGTGCTGCCTGCACCTGGTGGTGTAGAGCAAGACTTGTTACAGAAAACGTCCTTTCTCCGAGAAGTCCTTTTCGTCTTGTGCTGGAGGGACTTTGCCTTTTGTGGACTTGTCCCTTGTTAGGAAGCACCACACCCTCCTGCCCTCTGTCAGAGGTTGGGGATGGGCCTGGAGAGGGGTGGACACCATGTGCCTGTTGCACTGGTCAGTCCTGTCCCAGCCGGACCCTCTGGGGACCCACATGCCCACTCACGTCTTAAAGCAGCAGGAGTAGGGTGCCACCCAGGAATGTCCTGGCCCATCTGTTTGCTCTTTGTAGGTGTCTTCTCAGTATGAAATGTCTCACTTGCAGAGGTCCATGTAATCCTTGGTTCAACAAATCCTTTCTTCCCCACCCTGAGAGCCTTTTTCATAAAATTAGAAAAAGTGCTATCACAACCCTGTTTTAAATGTGGGAAATTGAAAAAATGCTCCTGGCTTGCTGGAGGGTACCCTTTCCAGGTTTGTCTCAGTGATGAGTAGTTTATGTTGGGCACTATCACTTCTAAACCACTTTCGATGAGATTCTGTTCAGGTGACATCTTGCCTGTGTCTTGCAGGTTTGGGGACAGGTAGGAGAATGCTTTCACTGCACGGCCCAGCACCACGTGTGACACAGGATGTCTCAGAGGGAGAGCGCAGTTTTCGCCTATGAGTCCTCGGTGCACAGCGCCAACGTCCTGCTCAGCCTCAACGACCAGCGGAGGAAGGATGTGTTGTGTGACGTCACCGTCCTCGTGGAGGGACAGCCGTTCCGTGCCCACCGGGCCGTGCTGGCGGCCTGTAGCTCCTACTTCCACGCGCGAGTCGTGGGCCAGGCCGACGCAGAGCTCAGCATTTCTCTCCCAGGAGAGGTGAGGGGCCCAGCTCAGGAAATCACCCTGATTTTAACCCAGTGTCATTAAATCTTGTGGTTCAAACCCTCTTGTCTTGAGGCTCAGGCACAGTTCCTAGGTTCTGTAGCAATACCTTTCTTTAACCTTTTTCATAAAATCATGACATTTTACATGTAAAATTATTAATTTTGGATGTTAGTTAAAAATATTTATTGAGCAGATGAATAACTTACATTATTTCTAATAAAATGAGCAAAACAGGGCACAGCAAGTGGTTAGAGATGTTCAAAGGGTCGTGTTCGGAGGGACCAAGCTGCACCGTCTCTCCCATTGGGCCCTGTGCTGTGGTGGAGCATGTGCCTGGCTTAGGGCTCTGTGAGTCCTTCATTTTCCTAAGACATCCCCCATAGAGAGTGTTCTTTCTCTTTCCTTCCTTGTTTCTTGAGATTGTGTCTGTGCATTGGTAAAAAAAAAGATAGTTCTTGTGCTCTCTACCTAGAGCCGTGTTTTTACACATCTCTTCCACCAGCCTGGTGTGGAGTTCTGAACTTTTGGTCCTTGTTGATGTCCTGCCTCTGGGAGACGCGCTTTGGGCCAGGGGTGTGGTGGCTCTGACCCTTAGAACAACTGCTTTAGTTGGAGCTGCAGTGGGAAGAGCCACGGGCCTGTGGTGTTGGGACAGACTAAGTTTGTTAAGAGGGAGTTGAGTGCATGGAAAACTTCTTCGTGTGCAGCAGGCCTGGGTGGGCTTTGTGGCTGCACATGTCCATGAAAGCGCATGCCTGCTTGGGGAATCTGCAGGATGTCTGTGCTGTGGCAGAGGTGGGAGCAAGGAAGGCAGTGCCAGCAGAGTGACAAGGGCCACCGTAGGTCAGCATTGTTTCTAAATGTGGCACCGCATCCATCTCATGGTGGAGACATGCTTCCTGTGGTCTGTTTCTCCATCCAGTTCATCAGTACTTTCCAAGTAGAGGAATTTGATTCACAGGTACGGGAGGAATATGTGTGTGCATTCATTTTTATTCTAATTTGAGTGTAAACCCTATGTGTTTTCAAATATTTGCAGTAGCGATAGACTGAAAATATCATTATATAAATCACTGTCTTAAAAGCCTTTTTTGGTTGGTTTAACTAAGTATTTTTAAAAACTGTTAATTGGAATTTTTATTGGGATAATTGTAAGTCACAAAAATAACAGAGAGATCCCTTGTACCCTTTACCCAGTTTCCTCCAGTGGTAACACTTTGCAGAGTTACGGTGTAATATCACAGCCAGGGTACTGACGTGAACACACCCATTCTCTGACTCAGAGTCTCTGGTTTTACTTGCACGGTGAGTGTGTGTGAAGTCTGCACACTGTCATCCCCTATACAGGTCCGTGTGTCCCCCACAGTCAGGAGACTGTGGTTCCAACACCCAGGGAGCCCTGTTGCTGCCCCTTTATAATCACACCCTCCACTCCTAATCCTGGCAGCCACTCATCTGCCCGCCTTTTCTAAAGTTTTGTCATTTCAAACATGCTATATAATTGGAATCACACAGTGTGTGACCTTTTGGGATTGGCTTTCTTCCACTTAACCCCCTTGAGGTTCATCCAGGTTGCACGTGTCAGTAGCTCCTTTCTATTGCCGAGTAATATTCCATAGCGTGGACGTACCAATTTTTATTTACCTGTTCACCTGTTGAAGGAATTAGGCTAATTCCAGTTTTTGAGTGTTACAAGTAAAGTTGCTGTGGACATTTGTGTACAGGTCATTTCTTAGGAACAAAAGGCCAGCAGTACAGTTGCCAGAACAGGCGGTGGCTGTGATTTTGGTTTTACAAGAAACCCTAGGCTGTGCCTTCCCATCGGCCAGTGGGAGGGATCCTGCTCTTTGCATCCTCCCAGTGTGAGGAGTGGCTGCATTTTGTTCTAAGCCATTTAAAAGCTAGTTCAGTACTCACAGCCTAGGATGTTTTTAAGAAGATCATGAAACAATATCTTGATCACTGTTATAGGAGCCCAGGGTTGTAAAATTAATTTTGTGTTTTGACCCAGAGCGAGGCTTTCTCTGCACTTCACTCAGTAGTAGGTTCACTTTCCCCTCCCTCTGCAGGCGAGTGTGAGTGTACAGGTGCTGCTGAAAGGTTGCTGCCTGGAATCTATGAGCCTTTGCTGACACACTCAATGTGTGACTTTTACAGCTTTACTTTATTCACTTTTAAATCTGAATCTTTAAAAATTTTATTAGAAATTTTTGGCACAAGACAAAGGTAAAAGCCACCATTTACTGTGCATTTGCCATGAGTCAGAGCTACTTTAAGTACTTTGCATACATTGTTTTCATCTTTAAAATGTTTACTTCTGGGGCTTTCAGCAGTGGGAGTTGTTTGGAATGTTGATTGCCCAGTGCTGGGCTGGCCATAGACTCCAGGGCTGGACCGTGTGTTAGGGCTCATCCTGCTGTACTCATGGATTATTTACTGCAGCCAATGTGGAGAAGTGGTTCTGTTTCCCTTTATTTCCCTCATGTGAGTAAATCATAACTCACGTGTCGATCAGAGTGGACTCTGTAGAGAAGGGTGTGGGCCGGATGACCAGGGTGTAAGGAGCTTGCTTTTCCCCACTCCTGCCCCGTCACATGCTCTGAGGAACAGTTGTCCTACCTAATTAAAGTACCTGTTTTATAATGATTGTGGTAAGTCATTCATCTCTGTTCCTTTCTGCTCTTGTGTTTTGTATATTAACAGGTGACAGTTAAAGGATTTGAGCCTCTCATTCAGTTTGCCTACACCGCTAAGCTGTCCTTAAGCCAGGACAATGTGGATGATGTGTGCAGGTCTGTGGAGTTTCTCGGTGTCCATGATATTGAGGAGTCCTGCTTTCAGTTTCTCAAGTTCAAGTCTTTGGACTCCACCACAGACCGGCGAGAATGTCCAAGGAAGGTGTGCTTCCCACCACACTGTCTGAAGACAGGCCTCCAGGTCCCACTTCTGGACAACAGGGATTTGGAAACGAATGAGGTAGAGGAATTTTTGGAAAATAAAAATGTTCAGGTTCCTCAGTGTAAACCCTGTGGACATCCAGGAAATACAAGGCCATCACCGTCTCTGCAGGACAGTGCCAGCCAGACGTGCGGGTCCCTGTGCTTGGAGAAGGGCCCTGCGCTGGCTTTGCCATCACTGTGTCCCAAATACAGAAAATTCCAGAAAGCGTTTGGCACTGACAGAGTCCGGGCAGTGGAGTCTGGGTTCCAAGACGCTCATACTTCTGTTCAGCCAAGTGAGGCATCTGAAAATGAGTGTCTGGGAGGAACACAGGGCTGTGCAGGGCAGGCGATTTTAAAATGTGAAGAGAGTGGAGTCGTGCTGGAACAGGAAGACATCAAGGAAGAACCTGCCTCTCAGTGCCCCTCGGAGGAGACAGAAGGGGCACCTCTCCTCCCCGGGTCCTCCACAGACCCCCCGGGGCTCTACTCGCTGTCCCTCCTGCATACCTATGATCAGTATGGGGACCTCAATTTTGCTGGTATGCAAAATACCACAGTGTTAACAGAAAAGCCTCTGTCGGGCCCACATGTGGGAGAAGAGAAAACGTTTGCTGAAAGTCATGATCTGCATCTGAAGTCTGACTCCGGCCCCAGGGAGGAGAGTGGCCTCACTCCTAGTGACCGGAGCAGCGTGGAGCGGGAGGTGGCCGAGCACCTGGCCAAGGGCTTCTGGAGCGACATTTGCAACACGGATGCCCCTTGCCAAGCACAGCTGTCCCCTGCCGTGGCCAAGGATGGGTCAGAACAGGTCCACACACAGAAGCGGTCTGAGTGCCCCTGGCTCGGGATCAGGATTAGCGAGAGCCCAGAACCAGGCCCAAGGACCTTTGCAACGTTGAGTTCTGTCAACTGCCCTTTTATAAGTACTCTGAGTGCCGAAGGCCATGCAAGCAGTTTGGAAATTGGAGCCGACGATTATGTCTTGGAGCCTCGGCAGGAACCGTGTCCGTATGCTTGTGTGATTAGCCTGGGGGACGACTCTGAGACGGACACCGAGGGGGACAGCGAGCCCTGTTCAGCCCGAGAACAGGAGTGTGAGGTGAGGGGGACACCGGGGTGCTGTTTGTCATGGTTTTGCACCACCTATTAGGATTCACTGTGTCAGCTCCTGTCACACAGTAGGGATGAGAACAGGCTCAGGGGGAGGAAACCCATACACAGATGTGACACTGTGTGGCCTGTCCCTAAAGAGTGTGGTGAAGTTTGGGACTCTTTGTCTACAGGTGTCAAGCAGGTGTGCGTATATTAACCATGGTGTGGAGTCCACACTGGCTGTAACTGCTTACCTCAAATGCCATGTCCCCAGAGGAGAGCAGTGGTTCTGTGGTCACTGTGGTTATTCCTGGACAGTGTAGCACAGATGGTCTCACTCACCGCCACATGGTCCCTGGACCTGGAACAGTCCCTTGGCAGGGACTAGCGAGCGGTGACCAGTTGTGGAAATGTGGCCTTCAGTGCAGAGCTTTCTTTACATTGGTCTTTCATGTCCTTTATTGTTTTCTTATTTCTCCTTAGCCACTTCAGCTATTAAGTTAATGCATATCTTAATAATTTAGCAAGTGCTGCATGTAGTTGGTACGTGATAGCTGCTGTTTTGTAAAACATCCAGTAGTAATAGGGCTTATTAGTACTTTATCGTTTTCTTTGGTTTTATGGTTGTTGGATGACAGATTTGGGAGACTGTAAGAGGTCTTTTCCTTTGGCTTCGGAAGGAGGTGGTTGGTGATTTAATTTAAGAAATGAGATGTGTGCATGAGTAATTGCTATAGATTTTCATATGCTATGTATAAATCCAGCGTTTGGAACTATGAAAAGAATGTTAAAACGTTTAAGAAATTTTAAAACATTTTGTTTCATTTATGTAACAAACTAAGTAGGTTGCCAGAGAAACTAATATTTTATTTGCATTTTTGTTCATTAATATAATTAAACTGTCCCACAGCTTTGTCATTTAAAAAAATTACCTCTTTTTTCCAAATTTATGTATGTTGAAAATGAATTTAACATATTTACAAGGTTTCCCTAATTATTTCTCCACTGACAAGTAAGATGTGTAGCCTTTAAAATGAGTTATGTGAAACCACCATTTCCTGACAGAAAAGTAAATTTTTTGAAATGCTTTAGAAATACTGGTGTAATTATACTAATATTAAATCAGAGTGACACAGTGATAATTGTATGTCAAAGAATGAAGTAGAGTTTTGGGGGGTTTGGGTAAAAACACTTTAGAAAGAGGCATAAAGATATCTGTGGTTCATCGAATGCCCTCGTAGAATAAATTGTTTTTCATTTTAAATACATTCATATTTGTGTTAATATGTTTGATTTGCTTATAAAATACCTGCTTCTCAATCTGTCTTCTGAACCCTCTCTAAAAGGAACTGGGATGATCAAATAAGTTACCAGTCATTATTCTGAGGGAGTGGGCAGATTGGGAGTAGAGGTCTCTTGAAGTCTGAGTGAAGGTGTCTAGAAAACAAAGATGTATGTCTCCGTGTCCTAGGTTTAGGTGTAATTACAAAATACAACAACAATGACTAAGGTTTATTTCACATTCTAGGTAAAACTGCCATTTAATGCACAGCGAATAATTTCCCTCTCTCGAAATGATTTCCAATCCTTGTTGAAAATGCACAAGCTGACTCCAGAGCAGCTGGACTGCATCCATGACATTCGAAGGAGAAGCAAGAACAGGATTGCCGCCCAGCGCTGTCGTAAGAGGAAACTGGACTGTATACAGAACCTCGAGTCGGAGATCGAGAAGCTGGTAAGTGTGCAAGCTCTTGTGTGAATTCCTAGTTCCATCACATCCATGCATTTTGTAGAAGAAATGGGTGTTTTAATTCCAAAGTTGGATGATAATGTTGTTATACATTAATTTTATAATCTACCAGTTACCATTTTTAGAGGATAAATTATATGACATTTTTAGAAAACGTAGGAAAGAAAGGATGTTCATAGACTATTTACTTATGTAAATATTCACATACACTCGCATAATACTCCGTAATACCTAAGCTGAGAACTGTATCTGGGTGCTTTTTTAATGATTTAAATTAAGGATCGTTTTACTGTCTACCTGATTCTTAGTGGTTGAGTAAAGATTAAAGACATTGTAAGGCATTTCCGTTTCTTTGTGCTCTGCTTGGTATCTGTAACACTTAATAGCTCAGTTGTTTGTTTAAATTAACTGTAGACTTGAATAACTTGTTTTGGTTGATACCAAAACAAACCCACTTGGATCTTTTATCTAAGGGAAAAAATTCACATGCTGATACAGATGGAAAATTCAGAGATCTGATGATACCCCGCGTGTGAAGAGGGCTTACCTTATCGAATCTTATTTTTTGTTCCAGCATCAAAGCACAAGTTAACTGGAAAACGGACTAACTTGCACCCATGTTTCTCTGTCCCCTGGTGGTGGGTGGAAGGAACATTGTATGAAAAGCTACTGTGAGATGCAGGGCAGCGGAGCTAGGACTGGTTGGAGGCAGCAGGGAACAGTGCCCACAGGCAGGAAAACAGGCCTTCAGCCTGCAGGCTTGGGTCTTTGTTAAGTACTGGAGAGAGTTTAAAGTTGTGATTGTAGCAAATCTTCAAGGGTGAACCTTCTAGCTATGAATAGCAATTAGACAATTTAGAAAAAAAGAAAGCCATTGAAAAAAGTAGAAAAATAAAAATTTACATATTTTGTATATAGTTTAATTGTACAAAAAGAGGAAGGCATGTAATTGCATAAAAAGATGAAGTACAACTGTACAAAGATGAAACAGAAACCACTGTAAGCCTACTTTTGCCCACCCCGTATATAAGACATTTGTATGGTGTAGCAATTAAGTCCAAAGTCTTGATCTCTCCCTCACCCTGCATTCTGTGCATAGCTATTTCCTTAGGTAACCAGGTTTTTACTCTCTGAATTCTTAATTCTTAATTTATGTTTCTTTTTTAAAATAAAAGGTTAATATTTTGTGAGTATTCTTTTCTTTTTTTTTAAATATGACTATTGATTTCAGAGAGAGGAAGGGCGAGGGGAGGGAGAGATAAAAGCATCAATGATAAGAGTCACTGATGGGCTGCCTCCTGCATGCCCCCGACCGGGGGATCCAGCAGCAACCCGGGCATGTGCCCTGACTGGGAATCGAACCGAGACCTCCTGGTTCATAAGTTGACCCTCAGCCACTGAGCCAGCACCCTGGGCTTTAGGAATATTATTGCTACCATTCTTGCTCCATAGACGTCTTCTGTACAGACTGTCCTGTATTTAGTCAGTAAGGGGTGGTTTCCAGGAAACTTCCTCTTAGTTCAGAGAGGCTGCCCTTCTCACAGCTGCATAGCTTGCCCCCACCTGTGTCTCCCTGTGGGCATTGGTGCTTTAGCAAGTGCCTGTGGTCCTGGTCTTCTCAGGTTTAAGGAGTTGTCTTAAGATGGATTTCTAGAGGTAGGGTTGTTGGATAAAGGGTAAATATATGTGTAATCTTGTTAGAGGTGATAGATTGTCCTCTATCATAGATTTGGTGGGAGCATAGGAAGGTGGGAGCATCTCACCTTCCTTCTGTGTCTGTGTGCCTGTCTGCCCACAGCCTCAGCAAGGGCTTTGTTGTCAGCTTCTGTTTGTCTGTTGTGAGAATTGATGTCTTCTTTTTAACCCTCACCCCAGGGTATTCTTCCATTGCTTTTCACAGAGAGTGGAGAGAGAGAGAGGCATCGATGGGTTGCCTCCTGCATGCACCCCGACCGGGGCCAGGGATTGATCCTCAACCCAGGTACGTGCCCTTGGCTGGGAATGGAACCCGGGACTTTACAGTCTGCGGGCTGATGCTCTCACCACTGAGCCACACTGGCCTGGGCGGAGTTGGTGTCTCTTGATAGCTTTTACTTTTCTCTCATGAGTGAACTTGAGCATTTTTATTATTTTAAGGGTCATTTGTATATTTCTCAGCTGTGTGTTCAGGGGTTTTACATCGTAGGGAACTGTTAGCCACCCTTGTCTAGCAGTGAGCACTCTTAAACATCAAAGTATGTTGTCATAAAGTATGTTGTCACAGCCGTCTGCTCTTGCTGCCAAATTCTTCCACTTTCTATCTTTATTGGGTGAGCTGTATTTAAAATCTTCTTAACTTCTCATATTTGAATGAATATTGGACACTAGCCATTGAAATGTAGATTGGAATGTAAATTTGTTCTATCATAAAATGCACAATGCATGCAAATGTTACCAGAACACCAATTTTACTCATTTTTAAAAATCTATGATTAAAGCTACAGCACTTCAAACTTATGATTTACATAGTTGCAGTGTAAGAAATTAAAATAGGGTGTAGAAATAGGTAGCAGGACACTGGTGGTATGTTCAAGAGGTGTCTAGTTTAATAATGATCATGAAGTGATTACATTTAATTACTTTTATTTATTCAACCATCAGTTATTAAACTGAGCAACTGAGTGCTATTGAAGTGAATCTGTGTTTTAAAATTAGAGTGAAATGGAAAAATCAGCCAACTGCCTGGAAACATGTTCAAGTAGGAGTTGGCCTCACGTCCAGAGGAGCGGGATGGAGCATTTAGTTTATGGGAACATTGTGATGGAGTGTCAGGGTGCCTGTCAGTTTCAGTTGTTGTGGAGAAGCGAGCTCTCCTGTGTGGGTCACACATGAAGAGGGTGCTAATGCCATCATTTATTTAGTGGGGCAGGAGCAGTGAGAACATTTAAGACCATTTTGATGTTTATCTGAAGATGCAGAGGTTATGCAGTATTTGCAGTGTTCATGTTGCCCATGGGTTACTTGGGTGCTGACTGCATTAACCGTGTCCTTTCTGGACAGGGAGTCTGGGCTCTGTTCCCCGCTCTAGGCACCTGCAGACTCATCCTGTCAGAAAACTACAACTGACACATTCGTTGCAAGAAAAAAACGTATCTGTTGAACATTGACTTTAGTTTTATTTATTCACTTATAAATATATATGTAAATATACTGACCCTTACCTATTTTTTTAAAACAGAACAATTGTGTAAAAATTTGAACAAGTTGGAGAATACTTTGCAATATAAAAATTTATACTTTATAGTCACTGTATATTTTCTCAAAATATTAGATGCTGTGAAATACTTAAAAACTAACTACCATTGTTGGATTTACACAGTTTTTAGAAAACTTTTACATAAAACAGTAATAGTACTTTTGTAGAAAGCAAATTTCCCTTTATACCCTTTTAACTAATTTTGGTCCAGAAAAGGATCTATTTAGAGGACTATCACTATGAACTGTTAACCATAGCTTCAGTTCTTCAGAACCTGCCAATGAGCAGAAATCCAAGAGCGCTGTCATAATCTCACAGGGGAAGCCTCTGACCTGCTCCCAGCATTTGTTTCCACTTCCCTTGTAAGTGCCTGGCTCCGGCTGGGTTAGAGCCGCAGTGCAGGTGCAGCAGGAGGGGTGAGGAGCAGCGGGGAAAAGCCACGCTGTCAGCAGCAGGTGGTGGTGGACGGTCAGTCAGGAGCCAGCAAACCTCCTGAGAAAACTCTGTGGAAACTTTCCTGTAGAGATAAAAATTTTAATAATAATAAAATTAATTGGCAAACAGAAATCCCCCCCCAGTTCTTCACATTTCCGTAACTCATGCATTAGCTTCCTGACCCTGGGCATGTTAAACACCGAGCCCCACCTATAAAATGGGTTTAATGTTACTTACATCAGCAGTTGAATGAATTACGCAGCCGAGACTGCGAATTTGAAAACATTTAGCACAATATTTGGCACAAAGTAAATGCTCAACGACTTTAGTGATTATTAGCATCTTGGTGATTTGAGCCGCAGTAGTTACGATGGGTGTGCTTGTACTGGTTTTGGTTCTATTCTGTGCAGAATGTCAGGTGCACACTTGTTTACCTGCAGTCCACAAATCCAGAAGGTTCTGGGAACTACAGGTGGGTCACACACTGTTTTGGCGAAAAAAACTGATGCAAGTGACATGGGGCCATGTAGAGTCTGTTTTTTGTACTTTGCACATTATTTGATATTTTAATGTGTTTTGTTTAGAGGTGTAGAGATGTTTGACAGTGGGGCTGCCCCAGACCCTGCCAGAGGGAAGATGTGCATCCACATAATCTTCCTAAAATCGAAAAACCCTGGATCCCAACGTGCGTCCAGCCTGAGAGCTCTGGATGAGGGATCACGGGCCTGAGCTAGTGAACCCATTTCTCATGTGACTTGAAAGGAATTCCATGTGACCTTGTTTAGTGAGCAGACATTACAGCTACAGATAGAAATGTTGGTTGAGCTAATCCACAAGAGTCATTGCGTTCTCTCTCATGCCCACAGCAGAGCGAGAAGGAGAGCTTGCTGAAGGAGAGAGACCACATCCTGTCCACGCTGGGCGAGACGAAGCAGAACCTCACTGGGCTCTGCCAGCAGGTCTGCAGAGAGGCAGCTCTGAGCCAGGAACAGATACAGATACTCGCCAAGTACTCGGCCTCGGACTGCCCACTCTCCTTCTTAATTTCTGAGAAAGAAAAAAGTACTTCTGATGGTGCTCTTGTGTTTCCTCCACTTTTGAGTTTAGTGGAGGGACCTCCAGCTGCACCGCCTGCTGGGGAACAAAGTCCCTGCTACCCTGTTGGGAAGGGCAGTGCGCAGGGCCCGGAGTCACAGCCGGGCTCCAGGGTGGCCTTGGATCACGCGGGGCGCGTGGAGCAGTGCAGGCAGAGTGCGGGCATCTCAGACTTCTGCCAGCAGATGACAGATAAATGTACTACTGACGAGTGACCCTCGCTCCCTCCCTTCGAACCACCCAGGCTTCTGTTGAAGTTCTGATGTGTCCTGAGAGCCTCATCCAGCCACCTGTCTCCTCACAGTACTGTTTCCCTCGTAGTTGCTGTAGGGGATTCCTCTGAGGCCAGCCCTGACTTCTTGACTCCACAAGTGATGCAGAAATGAATTCCCTCCTGGATACTTAGAGATCACATGTAAACACATAGTCAGGCTTTGGAACTCCTGTTTCAAAGAGTAGTAACAACGCTCCCTTTACACAGAATACGTGAGAGCAATGACTACCTGGAGACGTCTGCAGGTGGTTTCCATGGAGGAAGGAGCCAGAGAAGGTTCAGTGGTCTGACCTGCAATGCACAGGTATAAAGAAGGCAGGCCCTGGATGCTAATGTGCTCATCAGCAGGGTCAGCTGCCTGGGATGTTTGTGAGCTTCTGAGTCTGGAGCTTGGCTTCTCAGCTCCTGCTAAGCCAGGAGTGGGTTGCCTGCATGGTGACCCCTGAGCTCCATTGGGACTTTGGGAAACAGGGCAGGGGGGTGGCCTGAGGCAGAGGCTCTGCTCCTTGGACTTTCTGGAGCATAAACAGTGGGTGAGAGTCCTGTCCCCTTGTTCCTTTCAGTCTCCACCACCTCTGGGTCCACCAGATCTTTCTTTTTCCTGACATTCTTTCCCTTTGGAGGGAGAAATAGGATTCAGGGTTCAGGGGCTTGAGTGAGCGCAGGCAGTGTTACTTAGGCTCCCTAGACTGTGAGGGCCTGCCTGCCAGACGTCAGGGGAGAGGGATGCCCACATGATTAGGAGAGGCAGATCCTGTGGTTTACTTGTAAACAGCATTGTTGTGGATAAAATGCCTCTAGAACAACTGTGTAGGTTTGTGAAACAGGATGATACTTGATCTTGTTTCATTGTGTGTTTGAATTTGGAAACCAGATCAAATCTTGCTGTCTTCCAAGTCTGGCGTATCAGGCACACAGGGCATTTTACAGTCATCTTTGTGTTCATTCAGTGCTGTTTAAAGGACAGCTTTCATCATCTGTGTGCTCCCCCATAACAGGTTAGGCAGCCTGCTGTTACAGACTTGTTTGAAAATAAAAACTAGACTTGACCTCCTACAATTAAGAGAAGAAAAGCATATATTCTCATTCACAGAAACATTTGCAGAGCCCAGTTTTAAAGGGTACAAAGGAGTAATTTAGGGTGTTTGGTTTAGAAAGTGCTTCACCTGGGAGCTTCCTAGGTGAGTCCTGAAGCTTGCGAAGGCCTGTGTGGCCTGTGTGGGAGATGCTGCAGTCCTGTGGGAGCGAGTCTGAACACGGAGGCCTTTGCTGTGAGGCTGCGGGGACCACTGCATGTTTCAGAAGCATTTGTCAGATGGACCCTTCTGATGGGGTGGTGGTTGGGCAGGTGTTCCCAGTGTATGTCCAGTGGCTCCTATGTTGTCTCTGTTTCTGACTTAGTGGTTATAAGAGAAAACTAGCTGGGCTTGTTTATATTCTAGAGGCTTTTATAAATACTCATGAATGTGTCAGGAAGAATGATACTCTGTGGTAATGCATCCCGTCCTGTAAAATAAGTGTGCGTGTGTACACAAAAACATCCCCACGTAGCTGTCTCTTTGATACTTGTGATTTTAAGTTTTAACTTCAAAATATAAAATAATATAAAAACTTTTCTGGTTTACAAAATGTAAAATCTTGTACAAGCCAATGGAATCCTTGATTTCCTACCTCAGTGGACACTCAGCTGTCTGTCATACCAGTGTGTGCCTGCGTGTGTGAGCAGGTGTGTGCATGCACATGTGCCTGTGTGTGCGTGTGCGCAGGTGTGTGCAGGTGTCACATGACCTTTGCTTAATTGCCCCTATAAGTAACGGCTTTGAAAGCTTCCTTCCTATTTTATGATAAAACCTAATTGTCGCCAGAGTTTAAACATGCTTTTTAAGGCACTAGGTTTAAATTTATCTCTGCCTATAAACATTTTAGCATTAAGGATTTATTTTAATGACATTCTGATTATTGGCCAAGTGTAACATTTTGTAAAACATAGCATTGTTTTAATAGCCAGCATGTAGTACAAGAAACTACACTACCTCATACCTCCATGATTTTCAAGTTGTAACAGAGGGACAGGAAGATAAGAAACATTTTATCTTTGTCTTTGGGCTGTAAGGTGGGAAATTTTTCTATATATTGCACAGGGTTACACACATGCCTATTTTAAAGTTAACTTCTAAAGAAGTGTTTTTCTAAACGTGTGTTTCAGTTGATGTTCTGAGGGCGTGAAAACAAGTGTATCGTGTGTGCATAGTGCACATGCTTCCTTCCTGAGCAGTCCATGGGGGTGTTTCAGGATGTCTGCTGTGTGTTCACACAGTCACGGTCCCCTGGTTTGTGAGCCGGCTTCCCAGTGCTCGATGACTTTTACAAAGCTGCTGTATCTAACTCAGCAAAATAACATTACCTTAAATTTATTATTATTTCACTTCACCTGTAGCACATGATTTGTTGTTTGGTGGTTATGCTCAAAGCAAACATGGATATAATCCTTGCTGTCCCTTTGTAACTTACAACACATTCTCTGTAGCTTAATGCTTAGCCCGTGTTGAGTTAGGAATTTCATATGTTTGATGTGGTAGATGATACAGGGCGCCTGTGCACATGGCCCCATCAACAACTTGGAAAAATTCAGACATGGCAACATGATGATGAATTCTCAGGTGAACTTTTTCAGTTATAAAACATCTATTTTGAATTTGTAAATATTTGTAAGTGTTTTATTAAGGCTTGTAATAAACTGTTCTCTGAAACCTGTTGGGTAAATGAAAATGGAAAGCCACAGTGGTGTACTAATTGTAAATAAACATCTATTGATTTTTTTGTATCTTTCTTAATATAATTTTCTAACAATGCAATAAAACCACTAAATTTATATACCCATATCCTATTAAGGCCATGTTTCATTAAAGGTAAACTTCCATAGTGTTTAATTTATATTTTCTCCTGTATGTGCTTACCCAAATGTAGCAAAATGATACATGTTAGATGTTGGCGATAACTGGACAAATAAAATTCCCTAGAATTGCTTCTAATTGAATAGAGTTGTCTATTCCATTTCCATTTTGCCACCTCTTACGTGAATTTGTTGGTCTTAGTCTTCTGAGCAGTAATCAGTATGACCGTGGCATTTGTCTGCGGGAATCTTTCATTATTTGACTATCCTGCCTGAAAAACAATATTCCCAACACTCGGGTTTGAGGGAGTACAGATTTTACCTTGCTCCTGATTTACTTCATTCTTTGGATAGAGATGTGGGGCTTCCTGAGGGGAGACTGCCTCAGTCCCTGGGTTTCACAGTCACCTGCTGCCTCACCTCTCCTGTGTGACAGCTTCTAGCCAGCCCTGTCCCAGGCTCCACTGCGTAGAGCTGCTGTGATCCCCTGCTGTCCTCTCCGGGAATTCTGACTCAGAAGGGGCAACTACAGCCTGTTTGGCAGTTTCCAGAGAGACAAGCAGCGGGGGCAGGATATAGGATATGGCATCGAGGGGACAGAGGCCAGGGCCATGGCCAGATGTCTGCAATGATAGGGCGGCCCTCATGGCAGAGAGTTGACCACGTGAGATGCCAGCCCTGCTGAGGCGCCCACCAGCCCAGCTCGGGCCAGGTTGACTCACAGAAAGTGCTCAGTCATGTGGGGCAGGGTGGTGGCTGCGAGAGTCCGAGGAGAGGGAGTGAAGGGAGGATTTCTCCAGGCTTGGAGAGACCGCAGTATAAGTCAGGCTCTGGGGGAGGAGGCCACATGGCACCAATAAGCTTGGCTTGTAAATGGTCAAAGGAGGCAGTGCCACAGTGGGGACCCAGTGGACTGTCAGCTCCATGAGGGTGCCCACCCATGAGTGTGGTTACCATGGTTACCATGGCCTCCCCACCATCTTACACAGTGCCCTGCAAATACCAACCCTACATGGGAGGCCTGAGGCCAGACATCGGGCTTTGAGGACAAAAGTGTGAAGGGTAGATGCTTCGGTCTCCAACGGGAACCAGTAAGTGGCGCCCCCACCCTGGTTCCAGTTTTGGACCATTTGAGAGTAAGGTAATGAGTGCCGTCCACATTGCTGATGGAGGCCAGGTAGGAGGACCTGGCTGTGCAGCTGCTTAGCCCAGTGGATTTGCTAAATGTGGTTGAACCCCAGCCAGTCGCCCAGCTCCTGCCCAGGGAGGGCAGATCCCTCAGAGGAGCAGGGAGATGTGTCCATGGGAGGGTAGACCCCAAGACTAGGGGATGACCACCTGTTACAACTGACTGATCAGAACCAAGGACCCTCCCCAGGGCCAGTGGGAGAAAAGGGCCACAGGGGCAGGAGGGAGTTTGGGAAGGTCCTGGAAACCGGGTGAGGGAAGGGTGCTCCCTTCGTGTTCCTCCACTTTAGTTCTCTGGAAATGCCGGGCAGGCTTTGTCATCAGCCGGCCTTGGCCCTAACACCATGGCTGTCGCTGCAGAAGGCACAGCCGTGCTACCGGGGACAGGCCTGTTCCCCGAGGGGGAATCCTCCATCCCAAAGAAAAATCCCAGAAACCAGGACGTGCTGAGATGCTCATGACAGCATTAGTGAGTGCAGTGGCTAGTGAACAAGCCCTTGGGTGGGAAAGGTAGTTTCCTGTCCGTGAACTCTGAGCTGGGATCATCAGGGGCCTGCGGAGGCTGTGCTCATGTCTTCCCATGAATTTTTCACTTAAGATTACTTTTTAAAGTAATCTTCAAAGGTAGGTACTGTTGCCTCCTTCAAGAGTTTTATTCAGTAAACTGCAGGATAAACATGGCATAACATGAAACATGCTAGTGACAGATGCTAAACCTAGACTCGAGACGCTTATGCATCCAAAATGGTTGTAACCATGCATATTAAAACCTCTCTGAATAAAAAAATACTGAAAAGATGTCTGTCAAAGGTGAACAGTTCTTATTTGTTCGAATTTGCTTTCGCCAGTACACGTGAATCTTGAGACAACAGCCACTAAACAGGAAACTGTCAAACATGGTTTTAAGAAAAAAAGCTACCTGCATAGCAGCCAGAAATCTAACAGCAGGAAGTTATGTCTCACTAAGAACCGAAATCCCAGGCCTCCGGGATGGGCTTCCTCTCCTCACGGGGTTCGTGCCCCAGACCTAGTCCTCTCCTGCGTCCCCAGCCCATTCTCAACACACCAGGCACTGTCCTCCATGGGGCCTTGGCCAGGTCTATGACCCGTGTCCAGGTGACGTTTGCCCAAGGCCACCTTTTCAGTGACCACATGAGTGATGCCTCCATCCTGCTGCGCCAGCCCTGCCCCCAGATTCTGCTTTTCATTTCCTCTTTCTGTAACGCCTGTCGCCATCCCACAAACCGCAGATCTGGCTGGCTTCTCTTGTTTATTGTCTGTCTCCACTAGAAGGTGAGCGTCTCCAGGGCAGGACGTTTGTTTGGTCCATGCCACATCTCAGGTCCCCAGGATGATGCTGGAATGGAGGAGCATCTCCAAAATGTTTGCTGAATGTTGCTGAGGCCACGTCCTGGAGCAGGGAGAGGACTGAAGAGTGAAAGAGATTCACAGAGTGGCTTCTGGGTGATGAAACAGCTGACTTAGGAAGTGATCACAGCAGATCTTACACCATCTGACACTGACGCCGTGTCAGGATCTTCACACATCTGCCCACTGAGTAACCGGGTTCAGGCTTTGCCGCTGGGACGTTACAGGGATTGCTTCATCTAGGTTTCACTTTTTTGTTTTTGGTTAATCTTCACCTGAGGATATTTTTTCATTGATTTTTTTAGAGAAAGTGGAGTGGAGGGAGGGAAGGTGGGGAGAGTTTGATACATCGATGTGAGAGAGACACATTGATTGGTTGCCTCCTGCACACGCTGAAACCAGGTCTGGGGATTGAACATGCAACTCAGGTACATGCCCTTGGCCCGGAATCAAACTCAGGACCCTCCAATGCACAGGCCAAGGCTCTAACCAGGGAGCCACACTGGCCAGGGCCATCCAGGTTTCATTTTGCTTACCTGTCAGTTGAGTTCTCAATGATTTTAAGCTGGGAAAGGTCCGTAGCTGTGCACTGTGGGGTGTGTTTTGCCATTTTCTTTTTGGTCCTGTAACTCTTTTCAGATAGTGCTGGCTCTGGCAGAACTTGCTGCACATTATTTTTCCTACCCATAGGTGGCAGCACACCACCACCCACCATGAGAAAACCAGGCTGTGTGAATCGGGCTGCAGGTGGGGAGCTCAGGAGCAGTCAGACCGGGCGAATGCAAGTTCACGTCTTCATTCAGGGACTAAGGGCTTCCTCTATAAACTAGGTCAGAGTGCACCCAGCAGAACCGCCCACCTGGGCGTGACCGCGCTGGGGAGTCACGGTCTGTCTGTGCGAAGGGTAGGGACTCTCACGGGGAGCCCCGGACTCGGGGCCGAGGAGAACAGAGCCTTGGGAATGTCGCATCCCTTGTTCATGGCCAGGCAACCAGCCGGAGCAGTTGGGGTCGGCCCCTAGGTTCCCCTGGCCCTGCAGATGCACTGTGGGTCTGTATGCAGCACCTTCAAGTGACAGAGGCAAAGGCTGGAGGGGAGGGCCTCAGCTGGCAGACGGGAAGGAAACTGAAATCCCAGGTATGTGTGTGTTTGCTGAGGAAGTCTGTATCCCACCACTTCCTGTTGGTGTGACCTGGAGGAAGCTGTTGGCCTCCCGGAAACCTGACGAGTCTCTGAAACTGGTGATGACTAGTTACCTGTGCGAGGATTAAGTGGACTCCCGCCCACACTTCCCTGCTGCCCATCCCACATGTGACCGCCCAGTCCATTCACTGTCATTTCCTGCACGAGAGTTGGCCAGCGTTCCCCCCAGAGGCCGAGTAAACACTCCAGGCTTTGTGCTTCCTGAGCCCCGAGGAGATGCCCTCAGCTCTTCAAGCACCTGTTCTCCCTGGAAGGCGAACAGTCATATTTACACTTTGATCTAAAACATGTGGAAACTATTCTTAGTGCTCAGGCCGGACCAGAGCTGGTGGGCTGGGAGCCTGCAGCTGGGGTGTGCCACTGCCCAGCTGACCAGCAAGCAGTTTCCTCTCTCCTGCGCCCTCTTGAGGCCCCTGGCACCGTCCGGGCCTGACAAGCCTCTTTCAGGATGCCTCTTTTCGCAGAGTCGCTGTGGTTTCCAGTGTTCTCTGTTGGACAAGTTGTGTTTGATTTACTGTTTTCTAGGGTGACTTTCATGAGCATGCTCTTAGTGAGCAAACCCTTTGACAGGTAAATTGTAACTGGCACACAGCACGGACTTTCCTCCGCACGACCAAAGGGTCATGGAGACGGGCAGTAAATTGCAGTCTGGGAGCTTGTCGTCCCAGCTGAAAAGCACAGCTGGAGAGGGAGGTGTTTTCATCAGATATCAGCAGAAACTGTCTGGGCTGTGGATGTCGTCACTTGTTCCTTTGCCTCAGTGGGTTTTGCCCGTGTTTTAGTTGTAGTGGACGGGACAGACCTGAGTGCAGAATGTGACTCTTCCTGTGTAGTTTCAACAACCTGTCCTCTTCCCAGCGCCCCGAGTCACAGCCTCATTATTTGTGGAGAAAGATGAAGGGGGGGAAAGTAAGGTGGCTGACACCCCTTATTTACATGAAGTTAGAAGGATCCAACCTGGGAAAGTCTTTCAGAAACTAACAGTGGGCTTCTCTCCCCTGAAAACCCATTTTTTATAATAGTCACAGTGGCAGGGAAATGTGTTCCTAAGAATTTAGGATTTTTCATGGTTGTGGGATTTCTGTTGGTTTTTTTCAGATGTTGATCGTTTCAATTTAGTACCACTGTGGAAGCTGAATTTGGAAGCTGAAGAATTGAAGAGTTTATTAACATTATTAAAATGTGTGCTTTCTAACATGGCTGTAGGGGGCGGTGTGGCCCGTGTGCAACAGGATGTGTGGCAGGAGCTGCGTCAACCTCTCTGCCCCTGTTCTCAGAGATATTCCTCCTCACAGTTGTGTCCAGGGGACGAAGGTGAGGGACTCACCTGTGGGGCCCTTTGTAATGTGCACAAAAATGCCCCAGGCACCACTGAAAGCATTTGT